ATTTGACCACATTTATGTTTGTCAGGCTTCATCCTCTCCCGCCCCCTGCAGTTGATGCTAAACCTGGGGGTCTTACAGGCATGTCCCTGCAGGGGTGGGGACAGGGTGTCCATTTCCTCAGTCTGGTGTCATTTTTGTCCTATGCTGCCTCTTGCCCAGGACGAGCCTCCTCGTCCTGCTGGGTTCTCAGCTGGGACCTGGTGATTGGTAATTGGACTGTCTCTGGTCTAAGGTGCTCTCCTGGCCCACACCTGCCTCTCCTCACTGTTGATCTCCCCTGAGATGCAGCCACATCCCCTCCTTAACCCAGACAGGCAACATCCACACCTGCCATTTTGATGTGTCCCCCGCCTTCTGGTCAAGTAACCCCTCTACAGCCCTGGGTCCTTAGCCTTTCCTCCTCAGCTAACTTACACAGCCCACTCACTCAAGACCACAGAAATGCTCAGGGGCTACCCCATGCCACGCTAGAACCCTCTCCCAACCAGAAAGCCATGTTGCCATTTCTACTGTGTGGCCCCTGCTCCATGATGGCGCAGGAGACTTCCCTGAGTCTTACATAGACTCTGCTAAGGTCCATGAAGGGCAGCAGAGCTTCTGTCAACTCTCCATTCTGCCGTCTTCAAGGGGGATTTTATCATCAGCATCTCACACAGAGGTGGACTTGTCCAGGGGCACTTCAGGTGGCAGCCCCCTATGATGCTTTCACACCTCCTGCTTCCTCTCCAGCCTGGATCCTTTCTGTCTCCAGCTCCAAGGCTCTGTGTTGACTCCGAGAAGGCAAATTTTTCTCTGCCCATTCTCATCCCCTGTCAAGTATATCCCATCTTTCACTTGCATCTGCACCCTCTAGCGTTAAACACTAAAGGTTTGCTGCTTTGTGCTCTGTCCGCAGCCAAATAATGGTGGAGCCTCTCCCCAGGAAGAGCCATGGGTCAGAAGGAGGAGAAGGAACAGCATTCACTATTTCGAATTGTCCCAAATAGCAGCCATCCTTTCCTGACACAAACAAGGCTATTCTCTTTGAGATTTCAGTTAGACACGACTTCTTGCTAACTTCTTGCTAATCAGGTCTGCTAAACCTGGAAAGGTTGTTCTCAGGACTAGATTGGAATGTCCAGTAGCTCCTTTGACAGTACTCAAGGGTCTTTAACTCAGGAGTTCAGAGGAGTGCCAGATGGGTTATTGGAAGCCTAAAATAACAACATGAAGTATGAGGCCAAGGTTAATTGATGAATTTGCAAGGGATTGTATCCACTATGAGTGCAGATGTGTATAACTTATACTGTCTTTCGAAGAGATGGAAGAGAATGGTGGTCGGGCACACCAACTCTGGGGCATGCTGCCTGGGTTCAAGACCTGGTCAAGCATCTGCAGGCTGTGTGACCTTGCTGTGCCTGTCTTTTCTCATCCGTAAAATGCGAGTAACAATAATATCTACCACATAGGGTTGAGATGAGGACTAAATGAGTTAATACTTGTAAAAAAAAAATTAGAACAGTGCCTGGCATTTGGTTTAAGCGTTAGGTTTGTTTTAACTGAGATTGTTTTGAGGGCTCATAACTCTCCTGAGGTCCCCATTGGAAAAGCACGTCACCAGGAACAGTTTGGGTCACGTCTCTGTGCTGTTTTCTCCTGGACCTGATCCTCCTCCAGCTCCTCCTCCTCCTCTTTGTCATCCTCCCGCTTTCCTGCTCCTCTTCTTTGTCTTCCTTGTCCTCATTTTGAATCATCAAGCATCCTCTCTTCAGCTCATGGCCCATTCGTCTTAAAGGCATCCTGATCCATGCCTTTTGTCCCTTCCCTCTCTGGTGCATGGTGCTCTCATTCTGTCTGCAAAAGTCAAGTTCCATCCAAAGATTTCCTCAACCACGATGAGTTATGGTACACTTTTCTCTCTTGTTCCTCTGTTTTTATGCCAGTGATACAGCTACGTTTGTTTTGATTACAAAACTCTTGGCAACCCATACACCTTGCTAACCACCACAGAAGCTGCTCTGCTCTCCAGCGCAACTCACTTCTCTTTTGGAAAAACTCTGTATGAGCCTCATGTTCCTGTGTTGAATGCACCTGGGAAACATTCCCGATTTTCCAAATAACTTTGTATCATGCCTTCCTCCTTTCAACTTCTGTCTTTTACTCCTTCTTGTTGGGTTACACATAGCTTTCACACGTGGGTTACGTGTAACTACTCAAAGACTGGTCAATTGGTCGGCTGCTACTTAAAAAACATCACTATCACGTATCTTTGCATGTCCATAAAACTTGTGAAACTTGCAACATCTCTTGAGTGAAATGTAAATTATTTATTCTAAGTTGTCATATGCTAAGCTAATACTGGGAATTTTCCATACACACACACACCTAAAAGTTTCAAAATAAAAGTTATTTTCTACACATCAATAATATAAGATCAAATCTGTTGTCTGGTTATCTTAGGGAGAGCATCTCTCTGTTTGCCATATTCTCCTACCAAAAATGTGTATCTATAACTCATACATATTTTTGGCCATACATAGCCTTTTTTTTTTTTACTCTCAAATCAGTTCCCAGCAAAGCTGAAGGTCTCTCATTATTTTTCAAACACCAAATCATATTTTCATCTAACATGGGAGGGATATAATAGCTGGAATCCTAAGAAAGAAAAACAAAGTCATATCCTTCCCTTCTTGGCTCATTTCAGGTAGGGCCAGATTCTCCTCTGTCAATGTTTGGGAGGATGGAGGGGTGGGCAAGGCAGTGTCTGGGAAACTGAGCAGAGAGGATTAGGGGAAAGAGAATGAAATGATGATACTGTCAGCATCACAAAGAGAGTATTTGAAGTAACAGGACTGTAAGTCAGGGGCACAGGTGACCTCTGTGGGCAGGTTATTCAACATCTTTGTGTCTAGGTTTCCTCATCTATAAAATAAGAATACTAATGCTGACCTCAGGACCTTGGGGAATTAGAAGAGATCACTAATGTACAAACCTGGAATGAGGTGGTACTGGGAAAAGAGGTCATCTTTAGGGCCCATGCTTCAGCCTGCCCAAGTTTCCAAGAACATTTCCTACAGTCTCTCACAAGATCCAGAATACCTCCCCAGTGTTAAAATTTCTTGTTGATATTCGTCTTACAATTTGTAAACCTTGACCCCACACTCTGGTTTCCATTCTTTTCCATTTTCTAGCTTCCCTCCTTAGTTTTAGGGAAGAACCCAACAATGAATGGGCTGCATAAGCTCAGGTTTCCAGTCTTTTCTGGGCACTGGAGACCAGAAGATTCACAAGTAGTAGAGGAGGTAGATGAAAATCATGTCTCAGCATGACAAATTGCAAATGAAATGTCCAATGGACATAAAGGAGGTTTTGTATCGTTTTCAAGAAGCACCTCCCTCCCTGGGAAGGGGTATGACATCCACACATCTAGATTCCAATGAGCAGCTTCCAAACCTCAATGTATCTCCATGTCTAAGACTCCCTGACCATCCATTTCTTTGCTCCCTGAGGGCAGGGCTGTGAAATAGTTCATCACAATCAAGGGATGCTCTAGTGAGTTCTGTCTGCTTCCCCACCCCCTCAGGCTCCCTGGAGCTGGAGGCACAGAGTGAAGGCAGGAGGAAAGCCAACAGTATGAGTTGATGGTGATAAGAAACTATGTGAATGTGACTTCTAACATAGGACAGGATGAAGTTGTGTGTTTTCTTAATCTCGTATTTCATGCAGGGCTGGGCTGAGGATGTGGCAGGCATGGCATATGCCCTACGTTCACTGCCAGAGGGGGCTCCCTGCCTGCCACAGGTGAGAGCCAGCTCTGGGGTGCCTGCCCCAATGGGGAAGGGGGGGTGGAGGGGCCCGGCGGGGAAGGGATGGGGATTTTGCTCCACCTTTGGTGGTCCCCAGGAGGACTCTACCACAAGAATCCAAAACTTTGTGTCATGAATGTCATTTTGTTACATAGTAAACGAAATTGTAACAGATTAAACCCTTACATTGGTTGATTTTTATAATGCATACTCTTTGGAACACCGTACAAGAATATAAAGTATATATGCAAATGTCTGAAAAATCTGGGCCTACCTGCATTCTGTTGAATCTGAATGCTTTATCATTCTGATATTGCAAGTACATTTTGATAGTAAGCATTAGGTGTGTTTCATTAAGACCAACAACCGTCAACCCAAAACAAATTGTATTAGTTACCTTATAAATTATGGCCCTAGAGCCAGCCCTGGTGGTTTAGTGGCTAAGATCAGGCGCTCTCACTGCTGTGGCCCGGGTTTGTTTCCGGGCTGTGGAACCACACCACCCGTCTGTCAGTTGTCATACTGTGGTGGCGGCTCACACAGAGAATTAAAACTAACAACTAGGATACACAACTAGGCACTGAAGGTTTAAAAAAAAAATTATGGCCCTAGGTGTAATACATTTTGACCTTAATGTTTTTTAAAAAAATTGTTTTTACAATTTTACTGTGGATTTTCAATGTCATATTTACCTCTCCTCACCCCTACCTTTTTCTAACTCACTTAATCTCTATTATTCAGCAGACAATTTACTAACAGTTTATTAGGTAACTCATTGCTATGCCCCACCTCCAAATTCAAATCTCTTTTAAAAAAATCACCCACACTCAACCTTTTATCATTTTCTAATTTTTTCCAGGGTTCTTTTATTATTCCTCGTGGTGTCAATAGCCAGCCCTTCCTGTCCCACGCCTCTATATCTTACAGCATCTGGTTTACACATCATGCAAATGGCTTTCCAACTGAACGACTAAAAACGCTGGCACCAGAGAAATGAAATCCAGTTGATTGAAACCTTTATCATATGCTGAAGGCAAAAAATAAAGTTAAAACATTAAATACTTGTCTAACATATTCAACCCACGCTACAGCTAGGTCTTGATAATTCAACCTTTCTGGCTCCTGTAGACAGCAGTCTGAAAACCCACACGTGCTGTTTGCTTGTAGGGTTTTCTGCCTCTGCTTCTAACGTCTTTGCCGTCCCTCTTTCTGCAGTGGTCAGTATATATCCGAGCTGCTGTCCGAAAAGAAAAAGGCCTGCCCATCCTCGTGGAGCTGCTCCGAATAGACAACGACCGTGTGGTGTGCGCGGTGGCCACGGCGCTCCGGAACATGGCCTTGGACGTCAGAAATAAGGAGCTCATTGGTACGTTCTCTCTGATTCACAGCCTCTCAGTTTTTAAACGAAAATATTTCCTGGCATGGTGTGTGTGGTTGAATCCATATGCAGAGCAAATGCCCGTGCATGTATCAGAGGCCTCGTTTTTCCAGCCCTCCTTCTAGTGTAAATCCAATGCGCTGATTTATCTTTTAGAATTTAGAGGAAAATGCGATGTTTGTTGACGTTTCTAATCCTTGCAAATTAAAAATGACCACAATGCTCATCACTGGATACCATCGTCCTGATCCGCTAAATCCCTGTCAGACTGTTTGCTTTCCACTTGATGAATTGGAATTCTCATGGGATTCACGCCTCTCTGTTTTAAAATTTAAAATTTGTTTTGGATTAGACTATTCTGGCTCTTTAATCCTGTCTTTTAAAGAATAATTTCCCTTTAATTTGGTATTCAAGAAATTAGGAGGGTGTTCTGTTAATGAAGCATTAAAGAGGTCATACATTCGTTTATTTATTCAACAAATATTTATTTATGACCTATCTTGTCCCAGGCCTGTTCTAGATATAATCTAGAGATTATACCAATGAGCAAAACAGACTGGAAGCCTTGCCCTTGTGGAGTTTACATTCGGGAGAGGGGAGATGGACAATCAACAAAGGACACACATGAATCTCATGATGTGTCAGAAACGTTCTGCAGGGAAAGTGGAGCTGAGTAAAGGAGAGTGTAATTAGTGAGGTCGCAGTTTTTTTTAATTGAGGCAAAATTCACATAATATAAAATTAACCATTTTAAAGCATACCATTTCAGTGGGCATTTAGCATTTTTATGATGTTGTAATACAACCACCACCTATAATCAAGTTCCGAAACATTTTCATCACCCTAAGGAAAACCCTGCACCCATTAAGTAGTCACCCCCTGTTTCCCCCTCCTCCCAGCCTCTTGCAGCCATCAATATGTGTTTTGTTTCTATGGATTTTTCTATTTAGGAAATTTCATATAAATGGAATCATATCATATGTGAGCTTTTGTGTCTTTGTGTCTGGCTTCTTTCACTTGGCATAGGGAGTTGTAATTTTAAATGTAGGAGGTCAAGGTCAAGATAGGAGTTATTGGGAACATTTGAGCAAAGACTTGAAGGAGGTGAGAGTGGGCCACATAGATATTTGGGGGGAAGAACGTCTAAGCTGAAGGAGCAGCCCCTCAGACGGCCCCCTGGACAGGGAGCTGGAAGCGAACCAGTGGGTTCGAGGCCTTCAAAGGGCCTCCTGTGCCTGGCACAGAGTGAGTGCTGGGAGCCCAGGTGGAGGAGCCCTCCTGGTTTCTCCCTCTCTGGGTGGGAAGATGCCCAGGCCAAGGCTGATGGATGCCTGGAGAACGGATGAACCACAGGGACCTGCCCGGGGAGAAGCACAAGCCACCCACAGACCATTGTCCTACTGGGTCGGTATCTGAGATGAAAGTGATGACTGACTCCAGGAGGGTTGTTGGTCAGTCATTGCAGCATGAAGCCTGTCAAGCCTGACTGTAGGTAACAGGTGTCAGTGGAGGTCAAGCGGCAGGAAGCCGGACTGCCCACTCTGGCAAAGGTTCATGTTATGTAGCCCCTGGGGAAAGGGGAGAAAGGAGGCAAGAGTGGGCAACGGGGCAAGATTCCATTCCTGGGGCAGCTGGAATACCAGGTGTGAGTCCAAATTTCATACATAAATTTTCATAGATACATGGGTCTGTTCCTGCTATCCACATTCCTGAGCGTGACGTACTAAGCTGTTTGTGATCTGGGAACCAGCCACTCTTCCTCCTGCCATTCACAAAACCCATCATATCCTCCAATAAAAACCAAAGGTTTTGGTCTCCAGCCGTGTATTTATTCACAGGAAACCAGCAAAGCTGTATCCAATAAATGCAGTTATTTGTTATACTCACAATACGTTATAAGGCATGAAATAACTCACAATTTGATATTTATACTTAGTTTGAATTTAATTTAAATGTTGTTTGTGGATTTCATGTATTTAAACTAGACCATTAGCTAAAAGGTCAAGACACCTTCTCCATATCTGATTTCCTTTTCCTTCTGCAGTTGTTTCAGACAAGATAGAGCTTCCAATAAAATCCTGTTGCTCTTCTAGAAAATGCAGGAAAAATCAATAGATAATCAGTCTGCTGCCTGGATACTAATTACTAGGTACAGTGTGTTTGTGTGTTTTACTTCTTTTGGTGGATTAAAATATAACAAAATAGGGAACTATTGATTGGTTTTCTAGCTTCTAGGCATCTCTTCTTTCTCGGAAGCCCGTTATCTAGTACTTTGAGGCAGAGACATTTGGAGCTCCGTCCTGCCCATGTTAAATTAAGCCTTTACTAGCAAATGTCACCAGACAGGAAAGGGAGCCAATTGTTTAAAAGTAGAAGTGAAAATATCTAAGTCATGGGCTTTATGGAGTTAATAACTTTTTTCTTGAATGAGAAAAGCAGAATTTAACAAAAAACCCATACCATTCTGTTCTATCTAGGAGAAAAGAAACATGGCCTTTGCTAACCCTTTTACTTTAAATATTGTATCAAAGTAGTGATTTTTACAGGAAAAGGCTATATAGAACTTTATATATTGAAAAGAAAGCTGCAATGACCTTGAACCAAGAATGAAAAAAAATTAAACTTGGACTTCTCCTTTCTATCAACTCTCACTCAAAGCTTCGGTGACCTCATACGGTTTCATGGTGTTAAAGATCATATATATGTTGACAACTCCCAAATATATATGTCTGGTATGGAGCTCAGATCTCTGTGTCCAACTCTCTGTCCAACATCTCTGCTGGATGTCTAACAGGCATGTCAAATATACCATGTCCAGACCTGAGTCCCTTGTCTTCTCCCCCAAATCCAGTCCTTCCCCACAACAGCAAATGGCAGTTTGTCCTTGCAGTGGTCCAGAGCAGGCACTTGCAGTCTTGACTCCTCACCCCTCATTCCAGTTCATCAACAAATCTGGTCTTCCTTCTGAATTTTCCCTGAATCTGACAGTTCTCATCTTCATTGCTTTTTCTCCCAAACTCCCGTCATCTCTCACCTGGGTTATTACCAGGGCTACCTACCTGGTCTCCCTGCTTCTACCCTCATCCCTACAGTCTACTTTCAATGCAGAAGCCAGAGAGATCCTGTTGAAACCTTAGTCAGAGGATGTCATTTCTCCACTCGAAACCCTCTGACAGCTCCTTATCTCTCTCAGTGTAAAATGAAGTCTGTGCAGGGCTGACATGGCTCCATACGATCTAGCTATCTGTTCCCTCTCCAGCCTCGCCTTCTCCTCTCTCACCGTCACTAACTTTGCTGTAGCCACTGGTTAACTGTGGTTCTTTTATCACATGAGCCACAATCCTACCTCAGGGCCTTTGAACCTGCTGCTCCCTCTGCCTGAAATCTTCTTCCTCCAGGTGTCCATGCTCCTCAAACCTCACCCCTCTCAGGTCTTTACTCAGTGTTAATTTCCCAATAGAACCCTTTCTGGCCACCAATCTTAAAATTCTACCTCCTTCGCTGCTTTATTTTCTCCACAGCACAGGCCACCTTCTCATATACAACATAGTACTTATTTATCTTATTTCTTGTCCATCTCCACCACTGGAAAGTAAGCCCATGAAGGGCAGGAGTTTCTCTCTTTGTTCACTGACAGTGCCCCTGTACCTAGAACAGCACCTGGTCCATAGTAGAGACTTCAGAAATATTTGCCGAATGAATGACTGAACTAAATTTTTATCTTGTCTTAAAATGAACTCCAAATTAGCTAAACATTATGTAAGCAAATTAAATAAAATATTATCATCAGAAAGCCAGCTCATTTTCCTCCTAAAATTTATTGCAGGTATGCAGACACTCAGAATTTCAGAAGGAATCCAGTTTTTTTTCCATCGTTGGTTCTGGGATTTCAGTTTAAATTACATCTCTTCTTAGATCATTCTTTTAGTTAGGGGTAGGGGAGGAGCAGCTACCACACTCTGGTTAAGGAATGGTTCATCTTCCTTGGGCTCCATTATCGAGAAAACTCCCAATAGGCTGTTGAACAACAATCACCTTGCCCCATCAGCTGTAATGAGGATCGTGTAGTGGCACTAAAAGGAGTGTCACATACTCTGCCTCTCCTGTGTCTTTCATTTCAATTTCCATGGCTCTGTATATGTCTCTGCCATTGGGCAATAAGTCTGCTATAGATCTTTGTGTTCTTCTGAATGACGTGGTACAGTCGTCCGGGTTGATGAACATCTATACATTTCTTCTCAACCTTCCAAAAATGTTACTTAGCCTTCAGAGTAAAGTGTTATTTCATCATTTAGAAAGGTTTTTTTTTTGTTTTAAAAAAAGAGAGTGTTAATAAATAGCTTCAGAGCCAACAGTATTTTATTGAGCAAACAATATTGTATTGTATTGCTTTCACAAATTAGCAAAATGCCATCCATTTCAGCAAGTCGACAGTTCCTGATGAAGGTGGCAGATATTTATTTTAGCCAAATCTCTACTCTCTTTGTCAGCAAATAAACAAACAAAATTCCAACAAAATAAAAAACTTAAAGCACACATAAACACTAAACAAGAGAGAGATCTACCACTTGGCAAACATTAGTTGTTAACTCATTGCTACCCATCCATGGAAAATAATCCTAAAGAGAGTAATTTCATCACACGTGCTATTTTTTTTTTTTTTTTTTTTTTGCTGCATTTGCAGACAGCATAGAAAATGAAAAGACTATATCAAAACAGTCACTAAGTATGACATGGGCACTGCGAGTAAGTTTCCCAACGTGCAGGATTCTCTGTTCTGGGAATGCCTTGGGGTCTCATTGGAAGCCCTGCTCTTGTTCATCTCATACTGCCTCTTATCTCTCGCTGCTCTTTTTCATGAATTCTTCAGCCATACCAGTTTACGTACCATCATTCCCACTTACAAACCTTCACCCAAGCTGTTTTGAAGGCTACTCCTTGAACTGAGAGTGGAGGTGGGTAGCACCTACTTGATAAGAAGTCTTTTA